AGGTATCGCCTCATGAACCCTCCTCCTGGTCAGCCACCTCACGCACAGAAGATGGACAGCACAGCGCACTTTACCTCAACTCAGCAGAGAGGGGAAGCATTTGCCTTACACTACAGCAGGCCATCTGCCGTTGTAGCAGTGAGCAAGTGCCCTGTAAGACCCCAGCCTCCAGCGAGCTCATGTACCACTTTGGGAGGAGACGTCGATGATTTACGGGCCAGTGATCGATTTAATTAATCTAGCTTCGGCCATTTCAACAAATGAGAATGCAGAAAAATCTACGATAGGCAAGTCGAGCGGGAGGACAAACAGGCCAAAAGAAACAATACCCGCCTTTGCCTGTTTCTGAGCTGTTCTTGCCTTCCATTACGTCTTGGTATCGGTACAGCAGCAGGAAGGTGAGTACCTAAGAAAAGCATCGCGGTCCGAATGATCGTGGTCTCTTCCTTCCTAGTCAGGCTTGTCGCAGGGGAAAGAACCTGATGTGCTTAGGTAAGAGTTGAAGGGTACGTCTCTCTACACCCTCTTCGCTTCGTCCGCACTCGCCTGTCGCACAAACTCTTTTGATCTTCCAGATGGCGTCGAAAGCGTAACAGAGATCGCGCACCCACTTGACTCGACAAGACGACACGACACAGCCCAGGCCATCCCGAACTTCAGACCACAAGAAGATTTTTCCCATTGCACAAACTGCCCATTCCATCCAGAAATTCCCAGCTCCCACGCTGAGTTCATGCCATCTGATCCTCTGCAAAACTCTGAGACGGCTGATCAAAACCGCCTCAGACACACGCAAGTTCCAGAATGGCTGTGCTGAGGCACAGCTGGTTTGAGAAGATGGGACGGCTGCTCGTTGCCCGGTCGCAGTCACCGTCTCGACCATCACCGAACCCTGTACTCCACCACCACCACCACGAAACCACCCCTGTCCACCTTTGGACCGCAACGCAACCATGGACAACAGACCCCGGTCCCGTTGCCCCTCAAGAAAGTCCCTTCCTGGCTGGAGGTTGGCAAAAGCTGGGCATGCCACATGGAAGATATTGACAAGGATCGGACTTTTCTTTCTTTTTCTCTCTCATATCCCCTGCTCGTCTGCATTTGGGGTCCGTCGCATACTCCACAGCGGGCACGCTCTTCACCGTTGTCCAAAGTCCCAAACCCACGATGACGGGGACTAGTGTACGGCGCAGCAGCTGATGGAGAATCATCAATCGATAATCCGACGACTGCAGCTTCCATGACTTCTTTCGCCGATCGACCGACATGCCATATGGTATACTTAGTTCTACAGCCCCGCTGCCATTTTCGAAAAGATTAGTTGCTAAAGCGACCGAAGCCTTGATGGGGTGCGGAAGACAACCGAGAAAAGACGGTGGTGTTGTCTTATCCAGCAAACCTCTAAAGCGCATGAACGCCTGCCTCCTCAACGCCTCCCGTCTCACGGAGCAGGCCCCTGCTCAGTCGAGTCGACGTCCTCTTGACCCGATCAACAGACGACTCGAAGCCTTGAGGATGAACGCTGCACTTCAGACTGAGAACAGACCACACTAGGGACTGTGACGTTGCCATCAGAAGCTGTCAAGCAACCCATGTCGACAGAACCTTAAAGCCGTGAAGGAGGAGGGCATAAGCTTGCGGTCTGGGGGGCGGCTTTGCTCCTGCTACCAACGATGCTCAAGCCTGGGCGTCTTGCTGGCTTACCCCGTCATCGGTGCAACAAGACCGAGCGTCTCTGACTCTTCAGATGATCCTTTTGGGATGTAAAGCCGTTGTTCTCAAAGCGCCGAGATAAAACTGGCACGTTGGATGGCATCGTCAGCTTTCTGCGGCAAGTGCCCGAGGGTCGATGGTGGCAGCTCCGATCGACCGTTCGGGACACTAAAGCTTTGGCGTGGATGGCTCCTAGGGCCATTTTGCAAGCTGCTCTCCTTCCCCTCACCTTGGCCATTCGCAGTTGTAGTGCGAGCGGCGTGCCACGGTATCAGCCTCTCGCCGCCAGTCCCGCACCGGAGGAATCCTCAGTATCAACGGTCTTGGCATGGGCAACGAATCCTTGTGTGTCACCTACGTCTCTAGAAACGCATGTGCGGACGTGCTTTTGGGTCGAGCACGGTGGACTGCATGCTGCGTGCTCTCCGATAATAGCAACTTGCTATTATACTCGTCACTTGCCTGATTCAGCGTCGTAACTGCTGGGTTGTGACGATTCGATAGTTTAATTCTAAGGCCAAGAGAACCCCGGTAGGATGGCGAGGAGAAGTGCTCATATCGAGGTCGCTTCGGCAGACAAGTGGCTGGCCTGCAGGGTCTTATTTGACTCTTGGTCAACGTCAAAAGTGCAAATCTGCAATCTCTCTCACCGATATGAGTTGCAGTACATCCCGCTCATCCGCTCCGCTGCATCGAATGCAGTTCTCTTCGATCGAGACTAAAAATAAAAGTATTACCGAGAACAGAGGAGGGGAAAAGCCCGCCGCTAACAATGAGGTGTGTTCAACTCTATTTAGGAGGGCGGTTCAGCGCCGCGGCTCATTGGCTCCCCTCGCAGTAACCCACATGGCCCCGACCCACCCTCTATCACGGCCTGACCAATCAGCAGAGCTGTTGCTTCCGATTGTAGGAGGAGCCGTCACTTGTGCTACTGCAACCGCCGGCCATCAATCACAGCATTATTGATTTCGCTTCACACTGTCACGACTGGACGCCAGAGGCTGGACTGTTGATTTGAACAATTGAACCTCACAAAGGCGGTCAATTGGCTCAAATTGACAATTCCACTTTGCATGCACACCTAGCTCACCGATATCCGAGCCAGAAATAGATATCCCATGAGCAGATTGTTCTAGCAGCATGGCACCACGGCAATGGCTGGCGAGTTCTGCTCATGCCATGCAACCTAACGCCAGTTCCCCGCGCCGCATTGACTCGACCGAGGGCTGCTTACACCGAAGTTGGCAGGCAAACTTCTACGCGTAGTCTATCTCTTGAATGCGAGAACGAAGCAAAGCGATGCCCCTCCGTCACCTCGCACATTGTCTGTCTCTTATTGGTGTTATTAGCAGTACTGATAAGCCAAAGCTTGTGCTCATCACACGTGCAGAGTTGAAAAAACAGATAAGCATATCTCTCAAGTATCCGATCCGAGCTAAGCGTCTTGTCAACAAGCTTTGGAACAATATCACGACCATTATAGCGCAATACGGGTGCAATAACGGCTACAATATGGCTGCAATACGGATGCAATAAGGGATTGCCCGCCCCATCGCCCTTGGTTCGGTCCACCTCAGGGCTCCCCTGCCGGACCATCCGGTCACAAACAGACGACTCTTTTGCTGCTTGCATGTGGTCCGGTTGTGGTGGTGATGGTCTCTGCACATGCTGCAGGCCACGAGTCGGTCATCGGGTGATGAGTGCCGTGCTGAAGTCATCATAACGTGTGTTCTTGTGTCAGTCCGCCCACCACAACGTCCCTCCAGAGTCTACCCCCGTTCCTCAGGGATTCAAACACTTGGAGGAACGGGGTAACTCCCCATCGACGTCTCTGCGATTCCGTACACAATATTGCAGCAAAAGATAGTGCAAGACAAGTGAGTGAGAGATAGGTGGGGCCTTAGAACACTTCTAGAGCTTTTCCCCCCCTCTCTTCTCCAACAGCGTCAAAAGTGATGCAAGATCGACGACGCTCCCAAGAAGGCAAAGCGATTAAAAACGCCCGGAAAGAGAAGAATGAAACATCCAGATCGACAATTCTCTATGAGTCGAGAATAAGAGAATATGTGACAGAAATGATAAGTGCGTCCTTCAACGTGAGAAGTGCACATCAATCAAGAGCCAAGACCGGATAGGCTTCATGATGCAACTCCCCTCTCTAGACGTTTGACAGCCCCCCCGATCGGATCGTCTCTGATCAAACATCACACTTTGGTAGAGTCTAGAATGCAAGATCCATCTCCTCCGACTCTCACCTCTGTCATCCTCTCTTCTCTGTCTCTGATATTCGTCGGATAAAATGATAAGAAAGAAAAGTTGACAAGGGCCCCCATAACGGGTTTCCCTGATCAGCACGGCTATTCAGCACAGCCGGGAAAGGAGGGGGATGGGGCACACACCACGACATCAAATGCTTCACAATTTCCTTCCCTTGCCTTGCCATGCACGCTCACTTACTGGTTCAATGGTCCATCACACGCAACATGCCACGCACTCAGAACGAGCACATTCGATCCGTCTTATCCGTCCAGAGAAAAGCGCAGAGCCCTTCCTTGCTGTTGCCCACGCACGGATCTTGGGAAGCAACGGTACCTTTTTTTCCATCCCGTCTTTGTTCTGGTGAGACGAAATGGCGTCGGTGGAGTTCCAAACGTCTCTTTTCCCGCGGTTGTCAAATTGTCAGTGTCAACTGGTCTTTTCTGGGGCACGAACGACTGTCAACTGGTCGGTCTCCAAAGGCAGCCGTTTCCTCTTCCCCATCCTTCCGGCCCCCATCTCTCGAGTCTCAACTCTTGCGTGCATTGTTGGTCCGGTGGCTTGTCACAGCTGTCAGAGCCTCGCCTTTGGTACAAGCCGCCCACTCCACACGTTGAACGGTGATGGCATCCATGGTCCAGATCTATCGTCTCTGGACGCTCAACTACCGGCCCCCCTTTTGCTCTGTTGACTCGTCTCATGTCTACCCTTGGTGATGCACACGGAACACAGCCTCCCCGAGTCCCCTTTATCCAGTCCTCATTTCCCCCTTATCACGATCTTGACCAAGTTGAGCCCGATACGAAGTGCCCCGGGAAACTGGTATTCCTCCTATCTAGAGTCGTATACACACGTTAAGTGACGCCAGAGACCGGATATCGATCTGCCATCCGAAGAGCGAAGAAAGCCCACCGTCGCACCATGATCATCTCCTGTCCACCTGTCAACGGCATCGGCAAGGTCTAAAACGGCCAACCCTGCTTTCTCAACCCCCCATTCCTCTCCCGGCCTCCAGAGCTCACAGCCAACGCTCATGTGAGAGCCAGCCTCTCCAGCGCCAGGAACCCCAGAATGGCCTTGCCGTCCTTCGGGCCCAACAAATCCAAGATTCGCGCCTTACACTCCTCTGTGTCGGCGAGGGCGGCAATCTCGCGCGGGGACTGGCCTAATTCGCTGAGGAGGTTGGCGCCGTGTTCCGAGAGGGGTTCGTTGTCGCCAGCCATGTACAGGAGTAGGTCGGCGGAGGGTTGGGCTGGAGAGAGAGACGATGAAGACTTAGCGGCGAGCATCTCTTGGAGGCCTGCGAGAATTGAGGGGAGCCCCGTGTGTGACGTTAGAGGTAGTATGAGTAGGGGCGGATCAAGCTTCTCTAAGAGGCTTTGATGCGAACGGTTGTTAGCATTTTTCTACAGTACTGCAAAGCATGCCCAGAATGAAGCGGAATTTGTTGCACATGTTCATGGGCGTGCGTCTGATGGCACTTTCCTTAAGCACATTACTTACTCAATCTTGAACTCCATGAAAGCCTGTGTCGCATCACATTGGTCGACGCCCTCGCCGATGAGGAAGACGACAGCAATGTTGCAGCCTCCATCGAGGCTGTTGAGACGCTCTAGGCGCTGCGCGGTGGCTTGTTGGCCAACATCCTTTGGCGAGAGGAGGATGAAGCGAAAGGTCTGATTTTGGGAGATGGGGAGGGCGATGTCGTGTGTGTCTAGTCTGCGTTCTTATTGTTCAAGTTTCCTGTTAGTGAATGGGAATGTGGAATGAAAAGGAAAGGCATGAAATCAATCTTGTCTTTCCTTGTATTTTTTCGTACCTTGAAAGGGTGGTGTATTGCTTATTAGGAAAGGGATCAAGGGTGCCCATTCAGGACGCTGGCGGAGGGAGGAACAGAAGAACATGGTGGATCTGCTCACATCGGGTGACTTCTGCGATGGAATACGTTGGGTGTTATTCGGCAATGGGAATAGTTTGAAATATTATATGGGATCTTTGTATATGAGGTGAGTCAAGTCTGTGATTCAGACATGGCAAGAGCTGCCTAGCTATTCTTGCCAACTTTATTCTATCCTTTTCCGAGAGTGAGGTGATCCTTCTAAACTCCTCGCTACCTGGTTTGAGTTACACCTGCCCTTGGAATATTGGTACAGCACGGGGACAATTGTCGCCGGCTACATGGTATCATGGTGAAATTGTACAGAAACCTCGCTCCTCCACGTCTCCTGCCTTCTACTCGCTGCGCAAAGAGACACAAACCTTCTACGCCGCCGACACAGTTGGCTTCTGCGTCTCCTGCGTCTCAGTCGATGCCGGCAATAGTTGAAGGCTCGGCAACAGAGGCTTCTTGGTCTTGGGATCCCTCAGCTCCTTGAGCGCGGCCTCAAGTGCCTGATATCTTTTGGTCCGCTCCTCTTCCTTTTGCGAGAGCGCCTCTTCGCGGCGTGTGAGCTCCTCGAGCTTGGCGTCGAGAGCCTTAATGCGCTCTGCATTCTGGTCAGGTTTTTGGGATGCCTTCCAGTACTCATAGAGGATAATGGCGCTCGCGACGCCGAGGATAAAGGTATCGCCGATAACGTCAGCGAAGAGGTCGACGGCCTTCGCTTCGGGGAGGGAGCGGAACTTTCGTCGCCAGACACTCTTGAATCTGGGGCGTTCTTTTGTCGAGCTGCTACTACCGGTGCCAGTGCTACTGGTGCCGCTGGTCCCGGAAGTAGAGGAGGATGACGAAGTCGAAGTCGCGGAGGCTGATATAGAGTCTGGGGTTTTCGGCTTTGCAAGCTCGGCATTTTCAGCTGCGAGCTTTGCCTTCAGCGCTTTGGCTTCCTCCTTTTCAACCTGTTCTTTCGTCTTGACAGTCGCCGCCTCAGCTTTTTCTTTTGCGCGTTGCTCGGCGTCTGGATTGCGAAGAAGAGCTACCGATAGGCGCATATTAAGCTGGTGTATGTGTTGGCCATAGCGTGCGGCGAAGGCGCGGAACTTGGGGTGATCGTGGGCTTGAGCTTTTATTTGGTTCTGTTCGCGATGTCAAGATTAGCTTCGTGGCCACGAGCAGTGGACGGTATTTCGGAGCATCAAGTAGAGGTTAGGAGACTTCCGACTTACGGCACCATATTTGGAAATGTGCCGCACAAAGAGTGCGGCGAGCTTGAAGAGAGGTAATGGCACCATGGTGGGGTTATGGTCGAGGGTCGAATGAGTGACGGAAGTGTTGGACGGGAGAGAGCTCCGAGAGCTCCGTACTACTATGCTTGGCCTCGTCTTGGCGGTTTGTTTTCCCAGTCAATTGGAGCATTCAATGGCCAATTGAAGGCGAAAAAAAATGAAAGAGCTATTTGAGATGTAGGTCGCTTTCAAATGTCAACACGCTTGGTGATCCGGATTTATCGGAGTCATTCTAGGCAGCTGACGTCGATGTTCGACATTTGGGGCTGCTGGAGGGGCGTCCTGGGGGAATAAGTCGGAGGGCGCAGATTTGATATTCCGCTTATTTCCACTTTCGGAGCCGACAGGTCTAGCAGAGCCCGGCCAGCCGGAGTACTAGTTCACAAGCTCCTGAGTCTGAGCAGGACTGTCTGTAGGCCTGTTCATCTGGCTAAGCTGCATCTAAATTAGTAATTTGACCTTGAGTAAGGAAAGACGAAGCTATAGAAATTGATCTAGATAAGACTTTGGCGTCACAAAAGTGATAAACGTGCCAAGATCGTAAAACAAAGATGACCTATTTGGTGGTGGTTCGATGCTGCTTACCTAAGGCGTTCGTTCACTTTGACTGAGGTGCCAAAAAGAGGTTCGTTGTGGAGTAACATCGGCCAGTCCTAGTTGTTCCCCATGGCGCTTTCAGAGCGTAGTTCCCCAGGCAACGGCGCGAAGCGAAGGTCAACAGCGCCGGTACACACCAACCCGGTCCTTCACTCCACCTCCATTACCAAAAGTTTACCGTTCGTCTCAACGGCACATCATCCCGACAACTCTCGACACTCAGAGGTGGTAAGTACTCTGCGACGTCCTCGTCTTGTCAGCAGTCGTGAGTTCACCGTCGGCTCTTGTATTGCTTGCGAGCTTCGTTTTTTACGCATCTGCATTGGCTGCACATGATCTCTTTGTGAGACTGGTACGTAAACAACCCTCGTCCGTGTTATTACTGCTTGTCCCGCCCGCTCGGTTGTGATTGTAGCCATTTGCGCTTGATGATGCGTATGACGGCACATGGACTGCACTACGTTCTTTCTTTCCAAGTCTTCAATATTATACACTTTTTGCTATACCTCCCATTTTTCCCAGTCCTCCATGTGTGCTGACAAGATCTCATAATAGGCCCTTCCTCTCCATCACCCTGGGCCGACCTTGAAACTGCATTTTCGGCGCCCGTCGCTTCTGAGAGCCACAATCCTCTCAAACCCGCATCGATTACCAGGAAGCCCGAGGCCACAGTCATGGCCCATAGACTAGTGGCGAAAGGGGGCCTCGATTTGGAGGCATTGTCGCCTAGGGACGCCAACGCTCAGCGTATGCCCAAGGCCATTGAAATGAAGACGTCGAAGCCCGTCGCCCAGCTCAAAGCTGCAAAGGACAAGGAGCCACCACCGGTACCACCCGCGAGTATCGACGAGCCTCCGGCCAACGACCGTCCCAATGGAGCCGTCTACCAAGTCGGGAGAATGCTCGGCAAAGGTGGCTTTGCTGTTTGCTACCAAGGATACCTCTTGCCGGAGCGCAAGAAGTACGCGCTGAAGATTGTGCGAAGTCAGATGCCGTCCAAGATGATGCAAAAGGTCAGCTCCAGTGCCGGTATATTTTTATTTCCAGGCTCGAGTCTAACGCGCACTGTAGTTCCAAACCGAACTCCAGATCCATTCGAAGATGAACCAGAAGAACATTGTCCAGTTCTTCAGAGCATTCTCGTTCCATGACTGCATGTACCTTGTTCTCGAGCTCTGCACCAATGGTTCTCTCATGGACATGGTCAAGAAGCGCAAAGGGTTGACGGAGCCTGAGGTTCGATTCTACTCTGTGCAAGTCGCCGGAGCCATCAAGTACATGCATGGAAAGGGCATCATTCACCGAGATCTGAAGATGGGTAACATCTTCCTCGACCACCGAATGAACGCCAAGGTTGGCGACTTTGGACTGGCTGCTTTGCTCGTTACCGGCCGCGATATGCAGACCATAAGAAGGACAACTCTGTGCGGCACGCCCAATTACATCGCACCCGAAATTCTCCAGAAGGGAAAGAAGGGCCATGACCACCAGGTTGATATCTGGAGCTTGGGCATCATCATGTCAGTACTCGTCGATTTGAACATGTTTACAGGACCGTTACTAACCGAACCAGGTTTGCCATGTTGACATCCAAGCCACCCTTCCAGTCGACCAGCACCGAAGAAATCTACCGCCGAGCGAGAGAACGAGACTACGAATGGCCGAACCCGGAGACGACGCAAAAGTACATCAGCGAGGAGGCCAAGGACTGTGTAGCCACTATGCTCGAGGACGCGGATATGAGACCCGATCCAGACATCATCGTTCAACATCCCTTTTTCACTTGCGGCTATTTCCCTGTTGAGGCCGATATCACGACCAGACTCCTCACTCTGCCTCCCGACGGCTCGGAATTCTACACCAATCGCATGAGTGCCCAACTGCAAGCGGTCACCAAGAAAAACATGGAGGACATGTGCAGAGACTGCGGCGTGGGTCCATGGACACCAGTGCAGGTCGTTCACACTCAGACATGGAAAGAAATGGCTGCCGAGGAGAAGTCTGGGTTGACTCCCATGATTCCCCTGGGAGAGGACGTCGTCTACAGGCCATTCGACGATTGGCTTCGCGAGAAGCGGCATGCTCGGGCTCTTGCTGCCTCGGCGTCTTCGCGTCCTGATGCGGCTTCAGAGTCTCAATTAACAACTTCGCAAACAGCGCCGACAGGCCTGTTGCGCCAACCTCCTCAGAGTTTCGCGGCTCAACAAAGAGCACAGAACCGACCTCCGGTGATGGCCAGCTCTACCAGTTCTGTCAGACCCCGACCTCCTGCAGAAGCCCCCGCCCAGCCTCTTCAACCTGCAGAGGCACCTCGCCCAAGATCCGTTAGACAGCATAGTGCGCCCGAGTCTCGGACGAACCAGCTTGCGGAAGCCCCGTTGAGGAAGTCAAGTGCGCGTAGAACACCACTGCCGACATCGCAGTCGACAGGCGCTCTACCCGTCCAAGCCATGTCGTCTCAAGCCATGTCGTCACAGTCTTCAAACCAAGCCACTGTCACCATGACCGGGCTAATGGAGAATCTCAAGATCTCTTCCGATCAGAATGAGAGAGCTTCATTGTTTAGTCCAGCTGAACCCGCGGAGCCGGTAGCAGGCTCGAAGCCGGATGTCATTCTTGAGCGACTTCGCCGACTGCAAACAGAGTTGGAGCGCGCCCTGAACGCTCGAACAATGGCCATCATCTCTTCCAAGGATACCACTCCGCCTCATCCCAACGTGGTGGTGAAGTGGGTCGACTACACCAACAAATTCGGTCTTGGCTATATCTTGAATGATGGCGGTGTCGGGTGCATTTTGAGAGACATTCCTACGACCGAGGCCAGCAAGACTCTGACACTGCCTTCGGCTTGCATGCTTGTGCGTGATGCTGAGCGACACATTGAGCGACGTCATGACGAGTCGTATCCCGAGAGACATCAACCACTGCCGCCCACGCAAGACATTCATTTCTACGAGAACAACGGCGAGGCAGGTCTCACTCGAGTCTCTGTCTCCTCGAAGCAGTTCCGCGTACCGGTTTACGAAGACGGGACTCCCGGAAAGCTGAACCCCGGAAAGGATGTCTATGAACACAGAAAGCGAGAGCGCGTGATTCTCTGGAAAAAGTTCGCCAACTACATGATTGCCTATGGCAGGGATGAGCCAGTCCCCGCTGAGGAAACTGTCACTCGACCGATGGAGTTCTCTGTCAACAACTCTCAGCCTTCTGATCTGGTTACATTCTACCAACGCTTCGGCGATGTTGGCTGCTGGGTCTTTGGCGATGGCCATCTTCAGGTAAGCTTAAGTCGCACAACCGTAACGTAACGTGACGTGGCTAACAAAGTAACAGTTCAACTTCCCCGATCACACCAAGATCGTCTTGAACGCCGCAGGAACCTGGTGTCACTTCTGGCACCTCCCCATGGATGCGGCGCAGAACCTTGCCACTACTGGCAGCCTGGGCGCTGCTGCTCTTGACGAGAGGGCCATGTTGTCCTACCCTCTACAGACGCTGTTGAACTTCCAGGCCAAGCCCTCGGCGGCTCGTGCTACTCGCCCGACCACAACATCACGCCGGCGTCCGGAGATTCCAACCGAACTGCAGGGAATTCCTGTCGCTAATGACTTCCGTCGCAAGATCGAATTCATCAAAAACGCAATCAAAGAATGGGTCACAAATGGCGGTCTGGGTAACAGCGCTATGGACCGTGACCACAGACTACGCTGGGGAGGCCATCGCGAGACCGTCATGGGCAACAGCTTTATCAAGGGTGTCTGGGTAACTGTTGGCGCTCGGTGGGGTGATACTAGACTGTCGGCCTACATTGACCCTGCCAACCCAATGGAAATGGGTGAAGAGATTGACGAATCCAAGAGACGACGACATTGAAGGACTACATTCGTCGACGGCGATGGAGTTTTGTGCAGTTCAGCAGCGAGAGCGGACTCTGCATTGTTACGTATGTTATGGTTTATCATTTTCAGCCAGCCCGGCCAGTTCGGCCGGCGCTCACGAGATCACGCCATGGTCGCCACGAGGGGAGATGGCATTGTCGGGCATATCTGGAGTTTAAAGGTCTTTACAGACATAGCAACGGCGTCTTGGGAGCATAATAAAGTGTTACGAGTATATACCAGAACTTGTTCAATGATGGGTTTCTTGCAGAGATGATTGTACTTGACGCCTCGTTTCAGCCATTCGTCCGGTCCAGGCAGTTCCCTTCCAAGGTCGCCTTCGGCCACTAATGTTGCCTTCAGTCAACATTATCACCGCTTTTTTCGCGCCTTAGACTGGATAATGAATACTAGTCACGTCCTACTCTCGTGGGAGAAGAACGGCCCTTGGAACACAACCGTTTCCTTCCAGACCACCTTGATCAATCTAAATTGTTGAGTGAGACATTCATACAAGCTTAAGCAGCTGGT